TGCTTCAATTGCAGTCCACAGTGCGTCGTTGCACCTGCTGCCATAGCACACGTGGATGCTCATGTGAAGCAGAAATCAGGTATAAATGTCTCAAGATGACGGTTAACTGTCTCTCTGGAGACCCAGTTTCGCTAAGTCCAGAAAATATTCCCACTGTTTGTTCGAAATATAAGTACCAGATATCAACCTTCTTCATGTTCTAGGATCGCAGCAATTTCTAAGTAGCTCTAGCGCTGGCGCAAAGCGCTAATCTCTTAAAGGTAGTTTCAAATGCTAGAATGTCTCTTGAGGTTATAGCATGCTAAGCTGTAATGATAACGTGGTGTTTTGTATAAAATACACTTTTACTCAACAGTAGCTTTCATAGCAGTACATTTTGCACCGTATTTCTACCGTAATTCTAATGGTACAAGATCCGGAGTTTGGTCAGTTCTCGATATGGAAGCATTAAGGCCTACAAAAGATTAAGATATAGAAGATATATTGGCTATGAAATAGGTACACTTTTTTAGGCCCTATGAATATGCACTAAAAAGAGTAATGTATGATATTCATTGTTCTAGCTCTTTCTTCTTTCCCAAATCTTGATCTTCGAGTCTTCGCATTGCCCAGGAACCATCATTCTTTGTGCAATGTAGACAAGTACAGGAAACATGGGAGAAAGAACTTTTCACTTAAGCAGTTTGTTTGACTGTAACTTTTTGATTTTTTGGTCCCAATTTTTCGTGTAGGTTTTGGTTTGTTGGTACTTTTGCTATATTATATCACGATTATATCTTATCATTTATTATCATTTTTTTTTTGGAATGCACAAATGTTTTTATCGCCTGCCAGTCGTAACTTGTCGAAATGGATGAACGACATTGAGATCCAGGAATACGCGCACCAAGAGCTTTCTTACTAAGTTGCTTATGCACTGATTTCCCGCATTCGTTTAATGGCGCAAGATTAGAAGGCGCAAGATACTCAGTTTGAGAAGAGAGTCAAGAATTTTCTGGGAAAACACAAGAAAAGCAGGAAACACTCTTTTTTTGTATCTAAGTTAACCCATCGCCGCATATGGATGCTTGCAGTCACAAAAATAGAGTCAAAAACTTTAGGTGACTTGGTAAAAATGTGATCACTTCCCAGACTGATGGCCCATTTTGAAGAGGTAGCTTGAACCTCTATATTCACTTAGGATTTTTGCCTCTTTCCATTACTTTGTGAATACGGTTTGAAGTTTTAT